TAGAGATGGTGTGTAGGAATGCCTAGGTACCTCGGTAGGTAGATATAAATTATACTTTCTTTTGGTACCTAGGTAGTAGGTAGGTATCAAAAGATGATAGATAGTTCAATTGAGATATAGAGAGTTTGATTGGTTAGACTGTGAGGTAAGAATAGGATATATGTGAAAAAATGAAATAATTGTTGCTTTCCTGTCTCATGTCTCATGTCTCATGTCTCATGTCTCAGTATATTGTTATTGTGGTGGTGGTGGCGGTTCTCGGGTTCTTTTGTTCCTTAGATGGGTGTTTTTATTCGGTGTAGAGAGTAGAGGAGAGTTGAGATCGGGATTTGAGATTTGAGATTTAGTAGAGATAGAATGGAATTGAGGGAAAGTGAGATTTATTTTATATGGATAGGTATTTAGTATAGTTGTGTTGTGTTATGTTAAGGTTTAATGGATGGAATGATAAATATTCATCGTATAATTTTCGAGAACAAGTTCAATTGGGATAACCTTAAAATATCCAATTGGAAAAAGAAAACATTAACCTTTACTTTTAGAAACCTTTAAATCTATAACTCTACAAACTACCTAGTACACTATAGTAGATTACAGAGGACTTTTAAAGACAATTACTTTCTAGAAATCGATATCAATTTCCTAAAATTACCTCCAAAAGCACCTACCTTCTTCGCCTTCATCACTGACCTCTATCTGCCGTTTGTATACGAAGTTTAATAGAATTACAGCACAACCTACAGCATAGCACAGCACAGCACAGCACAACACATTAAATCATTGAAATCTGCAATCCACTGCATAAGACAAAATCCTTTTCAAAGATTCACAGCATTGATTCTTACGACCAAAGCATAAAAAAGTACATACATCATCCATCCATCCATCCATACATACCTAGGTACATACAATACAATGCAATACAATACAATACAATACATCGGATCTATCACTTCTCAAGTCTTCAATTAATGTTTCAAAAGGAAATTTCAATCTACAACATTTCATTCTCCAATCTCTCATCTCACAAACAAAGAATTATACACAAACTCAAATTTCTTCTTCAATTCAAAATACTCGGTAATGAATTATGGCACCCATTCAAAGATTTGGAAGTCTTAGGAATATTCGAAGGAAGTCATCATCAACCAATGCTAATGCCAATGCCATTTCTAATAATATCAATACCAATACCAATTCCAATTCCAATTCCAATACCAATACCAATACCCCACAAGATACGGTAACCCATGAGGGGCTAATTGCAATGAGGTATGAGGATATGTTCCCTGGTGCAAGGGCTCCAATTCCCGTTACTGTCGCACCTCCACTTTCTCCACCTTCAGAGACACATCCTGCTTTTCGACCACGATTACTCGCTCATGAAGTAGAAGGATTAAAGGATGATGCAAAGAGAGATTCTGGTCTTGCTCCCACCACCAGTACAATTACTCGAGATCGTGAAGCCGAAGGTGAAGGCGAAGCAGATGGCGCAGATTTGCTTAATACAGTCGATAATGATAATGTCTTGGGGATCAATATAAACTTTGATTCAAAAGTGGCCATGGCAAATTCAAGTCCCACTCTACAAACTCAATGGGGTGATGTGCAATCACCCGCATTGGCAAAATCGCCAACATTAATGAAAAATGAATGCGTTGGGTCATCTTCTGCAGGGTCCTTGAAACGATGGAAGACGAAGAATGGTAATGCAAAAACTTCTCCCGAACGTGGTGCTGGTGCTGGACATGGTACTGGTAAATCAACCG